CACAGCTCCAGCTGATGCAGCCATCTGGGGAGTGAACCAGCAGATGGAAGACCTCTCTCTCTCTCTGCCTCTGCCTTGGCCTCTCTGTAACTCTGCCTTTCAAATAAATAAATAAATAACTCTTTTTAAAAAAGATTATACCTGGCATCTTCAGCAATTTAAGACACATATTTCATTAAATATTGGCTGAGTGAATGAATGCCTGAATTAATGAATAAGTAAATAGATGCTGATGTCCCACATTGAGCTGTTTAAACTCTTTAGTGATTCTGCAACACTTTTCGGATAACAACCACATTCTTTCATACATAGAATATAAGGGTACTTCAAAACGTGTGTGGGAAAATGGAATTGAAATGTGTTAATTTTGCTGTGAAAGATTTTTAATTTCGTGCACATTTTATTATAATATGCACTTTCCATGCACTTGTCGGACACTACTTGTGCATTGCCTGAATGATCTACCAAGGAGCTAACAGAGTACGAGACTGGCCCAACATTATATGGCCAAAATGGCACCGATTTTGTAACTCCCAATTCAGACACACTCGATGACACCAGAGCAACTTGATCTCATTGGATCCGGCTTTATCATATGAAAGTGGGGAGTGGAGGAGGTTGTCTAGTGTCCTGTTGACCAAACTACAAAAGATCTCTCAGCATTAGAGACTGAAAAACGAATTCCTGGACAAACATCCCAAGGCTAAATGCAAATGTAAAAGTTGAAATTTCAACCACTTGTTTCCACTTCAGGCTCCAGAAGCTATCAGTCAACAGGGATTTGGAAATTCAGAAACAGCTTCTTCAAAGACAGAAATGCAGCAGGCAGGGGGATACCACATGAACTGTGCCAGTTACGGTAATGAGACTACTATTTTGGAAACAACTCAGACTTAAAAGTTGATTGTCATCCGAAGATACTGATTACTATTATTGGTGTGTGTGTGTGTGTGTGTGTGTGTGTGTGTTGGGGGCATTCATAGTCGATCTACAAACCTGACTTTCTTTTCTCTAAGACCTCAGGAAGTATTGGTTTTGGGTTTATCTTCTCCTTTTCTGTCAAGAAAATTTTGGTCCCATGTGATGAAGCAAAACTAAATTTACACCAGACCTGCAATTAATTTTTAAAACATTACCTTACTGCATTTTTTCTTCCTGCTCACCCACCCCCATCATCATTCTAGAGGACCCTCCTTGATTGTGTAAAGATATGCTGTCAATGATAAAAACAGCACTCAGAATGATATTGGTATTTGACAATGATTAGTTTTATGAAATAAATGTAAGGGCTTAAAGAAAGATGAAGTTTTCCCCAAATTCATTTTCTTCATTGAGTTATACTTTACTAGGCACATTCCAGCAAATTCTGAGGACCCCTACGTATCTGGCACCCCCTAAATACTCTCAGAAATTCATAAAGGAAAAAGATTGACTAATTTTATTAGAGCATTCGTCAATAAAGTCAACACACAGTGCCTCAGAGCACAAATATGCAAAGAAACTTTAAAAAATGCCTCTGTGGCCAATCATTCTTCCCAGTTAATCTAACTGAAGGTATTAACAAGTTAAAGACAGAATAGGACAGTCACAGTGGGGTTCCATAAAGGAAGAAGTGAGAGAAAAAGGAATCACTAGAGCCAAGGTTGGTAGTGCTCAGCCAGCACTACCCAGGACAGAGTGTGCTCACCATCCTTACCTACCCATACGGTAGGGTCTATTGTGCTCAGGACAGGGTCTAGAACATGCTAGGTCTTCAATAATAATGATTTGTCAACAAATGACTAAATGAACGAGTGACTAAAAGTTCTCAATGACGGGCCATTGGTGGAGATGCATGTGTAATTAAGCCATCAAAATTTGGCTTCCAATGTAACTGATGAGAGGACCTCTGTGTCCCTATCCCACTACAAATGATGACAGTAGCATTTCCTTTCATCACTTTTAACTTCAGTTCTTGGGGAGTGCTGACAAATCATACTTGTGAATCGGTAGGCCTGAGCTAGATCTTGGATTCTGGCAAATTCACTAAGATAATGGCCCTGGGGGATGGAATATGGGTTCTGGGTGTCAATTAACCTCCCTCAGATGACATTATTCTCTCTAATCATGTGTCCTTTTTATATTTCTACCATTGCACTTTCTGTAAAATCAACACCAATTCCCAAAAGTCTGCTATTTTTCATTATGCAACCAATTGTTTTCTTGAATCTCATCTCGAAGGACAATTCTCCCTCGGGATGACCCGTGCCTCTTGAGACTTTGGCTAAGTGGCTATCAAGGGCCCTTCCAAGTGGCTTTCCTCAGTGACTAATGAGTTTTCTTCATTATTGTCCTATGCATTTCTTCATCTTGAATAAAATGTTACTACTAATAAAAGAGGACACATTTTAGATTATGTTTAAAGCATTTAAATCAGTGGAAACATTCACACCATGATCTCCCAGACCTTTACAAATCACTTTCTTGAATGGCTCCTCATCCATGCAAGCAAAGAAGGGGATATTAACTGGTTCACAACAATCATCAACAGCTCACAGTATGCAAAATTCTATGCCCATTTAGGACAACATAAAATGAAATATAGGAGCAATCTTTCAGTAATAGAAGGCTGCTGACAGATGAATCTTCTGGATTCAAGTGTATATGTAGGATTGGGGAAGAGTTCTGTATAGGAAGTCCCAGTTCCACACTCACAAATTGTGTAATCCTGTGAAAGTCATTTAAGTTCCCTGAGCCTCCATTTCTTTAAAAAAAAAAAATGTATCTGAGAGAGAAAGCACTCCCATCTGTTTTTTCACTGCTCATGGGGCCAGTCCGAAGCCAGGAGCCTGGAACTCAGTCTGGGTCTCCCATGTGAGTGGCAGAGACCCAAGTACTTGAGCCATCCATCACCTGCTGCTTCCCAGGGTGCATATTAGCAGGAAGCTGGAATCAGGAGCCAAGCTGGGACTTGAACCCTTGCACTCCACTCCATGATGTGTAGAGTAGGCATCCCAAGCAGCACTTTACCATTGTGCCAAATACTCACCTCCACATCTCTTACTTTACAAGATGAGAAAAGAATCTTTTTCCCTACTTTCACTCACAGGGTAGAATGGAGGAACAAATGAACTAATGGATGTGAAATTGCTTTGTAAATGTTAAAAAAATATCAAGCTATCCACAGGCAACTCGCTACTGCTATCATTAACATCGTTGGCACCACCACCACCACCATCAGCTTCATCAGTCAACTACCTTTTTTAATAAGTTTTATTTAAGGAATGCAAACTTCATGCATTTTATATATACAAATTTAGGAACATAATGATTCTTCCCACCCTGTTAGGGAGAGAACACATGGTTGGATGACTGGATGGTTGGATGACTGACTTAAGGTGCTGCACCCTCAGGACAAAGCTGCTCATGGGACTGTAGCCAACGCTATTGCCACTCTCGGTAACAGCACGATTACTACTTACAGAGTAGCCTTCCACAGAACAGAGATCAGACACTTTGACACCCGAATTGCTGGGTATCAAATCTCTCTCATTATCTTTCCAAGGAACACATGTGTTGCAGCTGGAAACAGACAATCTGACTTGAAGCCAAAGCATGCTGGCTTCGAGTTGCTGGAATTGGTTCTTCAGAAGGTGAATTTTGTGAAGCTATGATACTGTGCTTCTGCTCCCCCCATTTTAATTGGATCTGAATTGGAACTGCATATTCAGAAAACTCTTCTGTCACTTTTTGTCAAAGATTTTTCTTTGAGTTGCCTGAAATATCTATTAAAAACTTAGCCTAAAGCAGTGTCTTTTGAATACCCAGCTCCCTAATTCAGGTACTGGAGCACCGCGAGCATATACCGCCAGCTCGCAAATGGATAAACTACTCAAAAGACATTTTCCACCCCTTAAATATAGTTCCAAGAAAGAATAGGAAATGCCTCATACCTCTAATGGAAGCTATTTGCTACAAAAACAAATCTTTCAGGTCCGTGGACTCAGAAATGCCTTTTGCACACACACACACACACACACACACACAAAATGAAAGGAAGAGACAGCAAAACAGCAGCTGAAGCCATGAAGTCATAACCCCCAAAGCACATGATTCAAAGAAAAATGAAATACTCATTTGAAAACTGGGCTACCCACACACCCAGCATCATGGTTGAGCTACAAAAGTTGTCTATTTTTGTATAAAAGAAAATAACCAGCATTTTGCACGAATTTTGAGAAAATGAACTCTGTGTTCCTTTTTAGTAGCTAATGTAAATATCAGAGCAAATAGCATTTGGGGGTTCCAACAAAAATGTAGAACATTTCAAAATGTTCACATATAAATCCTGACATCAAAATATACATATCTTAAGATGCTGGAACACGAACACCAAATGATGTGCTTAATGCATTTGTTCTTTCTTGAAGAGTTGAGGTATAATTGCATGCAATCATCTTGTAGCTAGGAATTATATTAAGAACCTTGAACTAGAAGTACTAAATCAAACTAAATTGTCTTTTATCCTATTTTTCTTTCCTACTTGTCATTACTTCCTGAAGTTCTCATTACAACTGCTTAATTCTACCCCTTGCAACACAGAGGTTTCCTTCAGAAAAGACAGAGCATTTTCCCCCTGTTCTTTCCCCCAGAACCACACTTTTCTCCCCACAAATGCTCACGAGGCAAAACTCAGGGAATTATCCCAAAGAACAATGATATCTTCTTGAGCAAGAGAACGGTTATTGTTGTTTTGCTATTCTACCAATATTTAGCCTATCTTTTAAATTTGCTATTCTTGTCCCTTGAGAAAAGAGAACCTGTTCTAGAAGGAAGGTTAATAGGAAAACATGAGCCGTGCTGTGATATTAAATACAGATTTCTTTTCAAACGCTAAAAACCACAGTCCTCCTCTGTTCGTTCCTAAAGAAGCTACAACATTGCTGGCTAATGGGCTGTCCACAAAATGACCATTATGGAATGAATAATAAAAGAATAATAGCAATGTGATTTCCACTTACATCAACCACAAAAATCTTCTGGGAATCATCCAAAAACTGCACTTTTAAATGGAGCATCCTCGGAGAGGCTGTTGGGCTGCGAGCAGGAACGGAGTGCTGTGGGTGCTGTGACAGAAAGGGGGCTTTCTCCAGGAATTTCACTCTCTGCTGGATGCGGTGCACTGGAGTCCCCCCACCCCCAACCAAGCCCAAGCATCCCCACACTCGGCAGGACCCACTTCTGTTTGCTTAAAGCGATGCACACCAAGGATTGCCGAGTGCTGACAATCAATAGGATCTGGGCAGTCTCCTCTTTGGTCAATGTCAAAGCCAACTGGACTTTGTCTACTCCTCTTAAATTCAGTTCCTTTTTTTCCAAGGAAAATGAAAAGAAAGGAAGTATTTGCAACCCTGAGGATTGTCTTTATTTCACAACAGAGCAATTTCACAATCCTGGAGGAAGCTTTGATTAACTAAGAATAGCCATTCTTCAAAATAAAAAGATTCGAGTTAGCCTCGTATTTCTAGAGACCTCCTGGCCAAGCTAAGAAGCTTTATATCTGTATCTGTATATGTCTCTGTGTGTCTCATTTGAATTTACATAATTTAGAAATAAGAACTATATGAAAAGGAATATAAGGAAAGAATCACTTCTACTCCTGCTTCCCGCACTTTGGGTCCCCATGACACCTCTATCTGTAATCGATTTTATTAATTTTTTGTTGTACTCATTTAGCTTTTGGACATTCCTTATGCAGATACTATATAAGCAAATATGAATGTATTGATCCTATGTACATAGGATGACACTGTTTCATGCCTTCCTTTTCTTACTTCCTATGTCCTGGAGATCTCCCTTTCACTGTGGTTCCTCATCCTTTCTTACAGCTGCATCATGGTGCACTGCATAGATAAATCACAGTTTACTCAACCAGGCTGAAATGAATATCTTCGTACATATATTGTTTCACATGTGTAGATTTAGGAGGAACGATTTCAGAGTGGAGTTGCAAGTTAAAGGTAATGCCTTGGTAATTTTGCTAGTTATTTCTAGATTACCCTCCCTAACAGTTGTTTTGGGTTGGATTCTGTTACATAAAATCCATATGTTGAAATTCTATCCCCTTACTCAAAATCTTCCCACCATATCCACCCTCCCACCCACATTCCCACCCCTCCACCTCCTCCCTCTCCACTTCCCAGTCCCATTCTCCATTAAGATTCATTTTCAATTAAATTTGTACACAGAAGACCAACTTTAAACTAAGTAAAGATTTCAACAATTTGCACACACACACACACCCACAAACTGTTTGAGAATTTGTTTTACAGTTAACTCTCAATACAACTCATTGAGGACAGAGGTCCTGCATAGGAAGTTAGTGCAGTGACTCTTGTTAGTAATTTAACAATTAACACTCTTATGTATGACGTCAGTGACCACCTGAAGCTCTTGACATGAGCTGCCTAGGCTATGAAAGCCTTTTGAATCCACAAACTCCGTCAGTATTTAGACAAGGCTATAAGACAAGTAGAAGTTCTCTCCTCCCTTCAGAGGAAAGTACATCCTTCTTTGATGGCCACTTCTTTCCACTGGGGTCTCACTCACAGAGATCCTTCATGTAGGATGTTTTTTGCCACAGTGTCTTGGCTTTCCATGCCTGAAATTCTCTCACGGGCTTTTCGGCCAGATTAGAATGACTTAAGGGCTGATTCTGAGGTCAGAGTACTATTTAGAGAGATTGTCATTCTATGAGTCTGCTTCCCATGTTGGAACATTCTCTCCTTTTTAATTCTATTATTATTACCAGACACTTGGTCCTATTTATATCATAACTTTAACACTTAATCCTGTCTATATGTTCACTTTAACACTTAATATGATCCCTTTAACACATAGGATGGCATTTTTACCACCCAGCTTAATGGGATTTGGGGTCTTATGGCAAGTTTTTAAACTGTACCCTTAGAAGTAAGTCTGTAAGAATGTATGCAGAACTATACAGCTTTTCAGTTACAAACTTCCTCCTCCCTCTTATTCCCACTCTTATTTTTTAAATGAGATCCATCCTCAATTGACTTTATACACATATGATTAACTCTGTGCCAAGTAAAGAGTTCAACAAATAGTAAGAAGAGAAAAAAAATACTGTTTGGCAAGGGTCAAGACAAGGGCTGCTCAAGCCATTGCTTCTCAAAGTGTCAACTTCATTTCTACAGATTTCCTTTTAGGTGCTCTACTAGTTATCACAGATCAGGGAGAACTTATGGTATTTGTACCTTTGGGACTGTTTTAATTAAGTATGATGTATTCCAGATTCATCCATTTTGGTGTGAATGACTGGATTTCATTTTTTTTACTGCTGTGTAGTATTCCATAGCATATATATCCCATAATTTCTCTATCCAGTCTTCGGTTGATGGGCATTTAGGTTGATTCCATGTCTTAGCTACTCTGAATTGGGCTGCAATAAACATGGGGGCGCAGATAATGCTTTTATTTACTGATTTCATTTCACTTGGATAAATTCCCAGGAGTGGGATGGCTGGGTCATATGGTAGGTCTACATTCAGATTTCTGAGGTATCTCCATACTGTCTTCCATAGTGGCTTTACCAGTTTGCATTCCCACCAACAGTGGATTAGTGTGCCTTTTTCCCCACATCCTTGCCAGTATCTGTTGTTAGTTGATTTCTGTATGTAAGCCATTCTAGCCAGGGTAAGGTGAACCTCATTGTGGATTTGATTTGCATGTCCCTGATGGCTAGTGATCCTGAACATTTTTTCATGTGTCTGTTGCCTGTTTGGATTTCCTCTTTTGAAAAATGTCTGTTTTGGTCCTTGGCCCATCTCTTAAGTGGGTTGTTTCAGAATGGGTGCTGTGGCACATTGGTTACTATGCTGCTTGGCATATCTGTATCCCATAAGAGGGTAGATGACTTAGAGCCCCTGCTCCACTTTAGCTCAAGTACTCGTGTCTCTCATAAAGTTCTGGTTCCTGGCTTTGGCCTGGCTCAGCCTTGGCTGTTGTGGGTATTTGAGGAGTGAACAAATAGATAGAAGATATTTCTCTCTCTCTCTCTCTCTCGCTCGCTCACTCCTCTGTCTCTCAAATAAATAAAATAAATTAAAAATTTTTATGCGCCTTCCTATTCATGGGCTATGGTACACATTTATACATTTTAGTTTCTTCAGGTCTACTTTTATGACCTCTCTGGAGTGCTGTCGTATTTAACAAAGAATGTGTACATAGACAACAGTAAACAATATAGTATACTAAACTTTCATGAATTCATCATCATTCAAAATTGGTATATTGAAGCTCTAATACCTAATACTTCAGAATACGACTATATTCAGCCATACGACTTTTAAAGAGGTCACTAAGTTAAAAAAGGCCATTTGAGTGGGCCTTACTCGAAGCTTACTAGTGCTCTTTTAAGAAAAGAATATTAAGATTGAGAAACACTATGGGAATGTGTGCACAGAGGAAAGACCATTGAGGACACAGCAAGAAGGCAGCCATCTGGAAGCCAAGGAGAGAGACTTCCTGAGAAATCAAACCTACTAACACCTTGGTCTTGGATTTCTGGCCTCCTGAACTGTGAGAAATACATTTTTATTGTTTAAGCCACTCAGTCTGTGGTATCTTGTTATGGCAGCCCTAGCAAACTAATACAAATAATGTTCTTATATTACCCCAAAGCCATTATGACATCGAACAAAATCCATACTCTCTCATTATCGGATCTCCAATGGTCTCAAATGCTTTTTTTTTTTTTTACAGTTAATTGGTTTAAAGCAGGACCCATCTATTTATTCTTCAGTAATATCCCTCCATCCTTTTCATGCTTTGGATTCATTGAAGAAACTGAGCTAGTCATCTTACAGAATGGCCAGTGTTCTGGATTTGTGTGCTTGCTTCCATGTGAAATCATTTAACTTGTTCTACTCTCCACACTTCTGATAAATGTCTGATGAGATTCACATTAAATTCTTTTGTTAAAGATATTTTGCAGTTGATGCTGTGTACTTCATATTACATTAGGAGGCAAATGTCTGGTTGTTTTATTTTTATGATGCTAGGATTGTTTAATGGGTTTGAGTGATAAACATCAAACTAATTGAAAGTATTCTTAATATAGGCTTTGTGCATTTCTTAAATATTCATCCCTACATATATGATATTTTGATTGCGTTTTTCTTATTTACTTATTTATTTGAAGTCAGAGCTATAGAGAGGGTGAGACTGAAAGAAAGAGTTCTTCCACCCACTGATTCACTCCCAAGTTGCCCACAATGTCCCTGGCTGAGCTAATCTGAAGCCAGAAGCCAGGAGCTTCATCCAGACCTCCCACACAGGTGCAGGGGCCCAAACACTTGTGCCATCTTCCACTGTTTTTTCCAGGCGCATTAGTAGGGAGCAGGAGCAGAAGCGAAGCAGCCAGAACATGAACAGGCATCCCTTTGGGATGCCAGTGTCACAGGTGGTGGCTTTGCCTGCTATGCCACAACTTTAGCTCCTTGGTTGCCTTTTTAAAATGGAGATCTTCTTTTACATAACATATTCTAGTTAGTAGTTGTTTGCATATGTATTGAAAAAGTATTTTTATATATTAATTTCACATCTTACTAACTTAATGAATTTTCCCAGATGTTTATTCTTCAGTTCATTTTTGAGTTTTCAGGTATGTGACAATTTTATTCTTTGTGAAAGGAAATGGTTTTCACTCCTTTTCCAACTTTTGTAACACTAATCAGGTTGCTTAGATCTGCTCATGACATGTTAAGTAATAATGGCATTAGTAGGTATCATTTTATTTTCTCCTGTATTTAGTAGGAAAGCTTCCAATACTTCCTTATTAAGTAAAAAAGGGCTTTGGAAGGAGACTTTTAAAAAAAAGATTTATTTTTATATATTTGAAAGAGTTACAGAAAGGGAGAGAGAGAGAGAGATCTTCCATTCACTGGTTCTCTCTTTAAAAGGCTGCAATGGCCAGGGCTAGGCCAGGGCTGGGTCAGACCAAATCCAGGAACCTAGAGCTTCATCCAGGTCTCCCACATGGCTGCAGGGTCCCAAGGCCATCCTCCACTGATTTCCCAGGTGTACCAGCAGGGAGCAGTATCCGAGGTGGAACACCTGGGACTCGAACCAACACTCATGTGGAATGCCAGTGCTACAGGTGGTGGCTTAACCTGCTACGCCACAATGCCGAACCAGAAGACATTTTAAATAACACATTTGAACCGGATTAAGAAAGAAGCCCCCAAACACCACCCTTTGTCTATATTGAATCAACTTATTCTATGTCAGTAAATAAATAGGTCGGTAAATTAAACCGATGAAATGCTGTCCTCTGATGGACAG